GAAACACGCGCATTGTAACATGATTGATCATGTGACAGAAGCCATACATTAACAATAATTAAATTCCAGTGTGCCATGACTTTCAACGCAGTGTCTCCAGACCCTTCCGCTCCTCCGCGGCAAGGGGCGTGGCGAGACTAATACTGCATTATCTTAAATTTACCTTCCTCTTCTTGTGGTAATTCAATTACAGTAATTCCTTTATCTTCTAGCTTTTTCAATATCACTGGATCCTTGAGATCTCTTATGACATCATCAAGAACAAATGGCAGTATAGCATAAGTGATGATAACACAATTTTTTCTTAATTGTTTAAGAATTGCATAATATGACCATGAGAATTCACCAAAGGTTGAGACCCAGGTATAAAATCGAGAATGAAGCCAAGGGGAACCAAGACGAAAACAGATATAAGGTAAACCAAGAGGAGCAGTAGGAGATAAATCAGATTGTTGTTCAAAGAAAGGTATCAAATCTTCAAAGGAAGCTGCACTCAATAATTTAGCGTATTCTTTTTCATATTCAAAAAATCGTCTGCTAATCTCATTATCATCTTTAACCAGTTCAATTAGTTTTTTTAATAGCTTGTAATTGAGGTAGCCAATGAAATCATGATTGCTTAAAAAATCAAAAAAGCTTTTTAAATCATTAACCCCCTCAAGAATATAAATGCAGGGCATCAACTCAGGAACGGCAGTAATTTTTCTCCTTAAGCATCCACGTATCAACATTTTTGCATCTTCTACAACAATGGAATTACATGTACATGTACTTTCAAGTGACTTTTTCACGGCAAGAACGAGATAATCAAACTTATTCTGCAATTCATTAGCAATGTCTCGCAAATTAGGAACTTGATCAACTCTGCGCTCAAGATTACGAACACCTAAAAACAATATGTACATAAGCTAGTTACTCTGTCGTTATCTCTCCTTACCTGGATTAACAAGCAATGGCTGTGCTGGATGCCCTACAGATAAAGTAAAACATTATCACATATGCCTGATTAGAAGCCTAGGCATTTATTACTTAACAGGGAAAAAATTACGTAAATAGAAAATAGGAACTGCCAAAACATGGAATCAAACCTGGTAAGATGACTGTACTTTAAAAGTTAGGCTACATGGAACAATATAAATAACTGGGCTACCTAAATAGTGTAACATAGTCATAATTTTTAGGGACTGTAGAAACGTTTATTTGAGCTGGGCTTGTAATCAGGAAATACGGTATATATTTCAATTCATAATATTTTAGAGCAAGCAAGTTAAGATTGCATCTCCTCTACAACATGCACCATCTATATCAAACAATTCCACTGGCTCACTTTCAGCTGTAGACAATATTTGGGGTGTGGCTTCATATCTTGACATAGCAGGTAGATCTAAGTAAAATAAAAGCAATTAATAAAACAGTGATTATTTAAAGCAAAGTATCTCACTTTGTCTTTCTCCATTAATACCATCAGCTACAGCATTCTCTCCTATTCCTCTAAGAGCAGCTATCAGTGTATCTATTGTTGGAGTCTCCACACCATCAGCTTTACGCAACCATTTAGCCAAACACTCTGTGAAACAACGATCAACCTGTCCTCTGTGCTCATGTTCAATGCTCCTCAGTGTGTTATCATATAATAGAAGACGTAGACCAAGTTGATAATACGATGTCTTGTCGTACTTATGTCTCTCGAGTAGTACAGTCACTTCATTAAGATCTCTAATGCCTATTGCAATCACATATTGGATCTACAATGAAATGATACTATACTCACTTAAGGTCCTTCCACTTGTTAAAACAGGGGCTCGAACTCGAACAGCCATTTCTACTCTACATTCTACAATTTAAGTCAATTTTAATTTAAATTTGCGCATGCGTACTACATGCCTATGGGACCATCAAGAGGCTAGGCGGCTGTATCATAGATATTAGAGTACATGTAAATGAAAGATTAGAGTTCATTTACTCTAATATCTATGGCTGTATGCTCACTTCTGCTACATTTCTCACCTGATTCTCCTTGCACATTCCACTACATTTGTCCCTGTACTTCCGTCATCTCCAATAATCACTTTTTTCATGCAAACTCTTAATTCACTTATTTATTATTATTATTCTTTTTTTCTGGCTGCAACACATGTTGCTGTCCTTCAGTACCCCGGCTCTGTCCTTTTTCTCT